CACAGACCACGTGATTGTGAGGCACGTGCCGTCGTTTCAAATCGTTTAACCTATTTAGTAACGTAGACCCAGTAAGGTTTCATGGTGACTGCGTCAACATATTTACCCTTAACTATTTGCGTCAGTCTGATCTTTTTCCAGTTCTGGAGAAGATTACTTATATATATATATATATATATATATATATATATATATATATATATATATATATATATATATATATATATATATATATATATATATATATATATATATATATATATATATATATATATATATATATAAAATTATGGATTGTGTTCAATGATTCATCTTTTTTAAAACAGAGCCAATCACCATGACTTAGCTTAAAAACGAAGTTATTTAATGCTGGATATTTATTAGAGCTGCCTGGACTCAGGGGCCGTGTAAACATTTAAGTAAAAAGCATGACGTAGGAAGTAACTGAACCCGAAACCATTCTCCGTCATACAACCATGGGAATGATTTGTATATCAATGTATAAAAAAGCGTGCGTTAATGTATAAAACAATCACCAAATATATGTTTTAAAGTCCACTATCCCTAGGTCATAACAAGACCGAGTATTAAGGCGGAAGGACTAATACGTGAAATGAAAGTCGTGTCAGAGGCGTAGCGAGGGGGGGGGGGCGGGGGTGCGGACCGCACCGGGTGACACCATTTGAGGGTGTGAAAAGATAGCAAAATATATAGAGAAAAATTTGAGGGGGGTGCAAATCGAAAGTTTGTCCCCGGGAATGTTCGCTACGCCTCAGGGGTTGACACCTTTAAGTGCCGCACCGGGTGACACCCGACCTCGCTACGCCACTGAGTCGTGTCATATGATATATCTATTGCGTTTCTGTTTAAAATATATCCCTACCGAAGCCAGGATATAACGTCATAGAATTTAATTATATATTTAACACACGTCATCGCTAATATGATTAATTATAAACTTCAAAGATCCCAAAATTCAACACTTCCGTCTGACTAGCTTTATTAAAAGATACAATTTCCATCTGGATATAGACATACACTTTGTAGTATGACGACATAAATACCAGCTGTCATCGACAGATGACACAATGTCATACATGTCAAGTAGTTATCCCAAGTTAACACCGGTCTTTACATCTATTGTCATAAATGACAACATAATTCAAACCTGTTATACTTTTTTTTTTACCAGACAGTTTGATATTTTATTCATTTTGGACAAAAATATATGTATATATATGTGTAGAGTTATCGTTCCTGCAGCTCTTAAAAAAACCCGCATTATTTTAATGAGTTGATAATTAATTGAAATGGTATGCATGGTGTTGCACGTGAGAGGAAGTCGGGGTGGGTGTTTGTTGGTTTGGATGTCAAAGTCTAGAACGTTTGATCTTATAGTTAACTATGGCGCAGTTTGGCTAAGGCGTGAATATTGACGATAATGGATGGAAAGTAGTTTATTAAGTTATATAATATTTATATGTAAGTCGGAAAGGAAGCGGTTTAGGGAGTACTTAATATAAATACCAATAACTATGCATACTTAACCTACAACTACACCTATACGTGCATCATATAACATTATGTCTTTTGATATTTTCTCTCAACCGACAAAGGTTCAATTAACTATTCACTACTCCAAACTTCATCTGCCCAATGGATCGCTAGATGGATACACGTTCATCTAATTACTGTTTAGATAAATACTTACTATTGACATAAATACTTACTATTCACCTAACTATTCGCCTAACTAATAATTATTCACCAAACTACGTACTATTCACCTATTTACTTACTGCATCTATAACTACTTACTATTGACATAACTACTTACTATTCACCTAACTACTTACTATTCACCTAACTACCTACTATTCACCTAACTACTTACTATTCACCTAACTCTTCACCTAACTACTTACTATTCACCTATTTACTTACTGCTTATTTATATAACTACTTACTACTGACCTAACTACCTACCCTTACTTCTACCTGATCACCTAACTACTTACTATTTAGATAACTACTTACTTGTCACCAAACTATTAACTATTAACTTACTTACTAGTGACCTAACCATTCACCTAACTGCCAACTATTAACTTACTTACTAGTGACCTAACCATTCACCTAACTGCCAACTATTAACTTACTTACTAGTGACCTAACCATTCACCTAACTGCCAACTATTAACTTACTTACTAGTGACCTAACCATTCACCTAACTGCCAACTATTAACTTACTTACTAGTGACCTAACCATTCACCTAACTGCCAACTATTAACTTACTTACTAGTGACCTAACCATTCACCTAACTGCCAACTATTAACTTACTTACTAGTGACCTAACCATTCACCTAACTGCCAACTATTAACTTACTTACTAGTGACCTAACCATTCACCTAACTGCCAACTATTAACTTACTTACTAGTGACCTAACCATTCACCTAACTGCCAACTATTAACTTACTTACTAGTGACCTAACCATTCACCTAACTGCCAACTATTAACTTACTTACTAGTGACCTAACCATTCACCTAACTGCCAACTATTGACCTAAGTATTCATCAAATTACTTACAATTTAAATAACTACTAACTATTGACTTAATTACTATTCACCTAATTACTTGTCTAATTACCTGGCCAGGTTTCAAGGTGGACAGGCTCGGGGGCTGGCTCCGTGACACCTGCTGTGCTTGTGGGGGTCGGGAGGTGATATTGATCACAGCACTCACCTGCGCGTCCTTGTTTGTCTTTGATGGGCTACAGGTGAGTCAGATAGACTGACGGATTAAAGAGGTCAGATAGACTGACGGATTAAAGAGGTCAGATAGACACACGGATTAAGGAGGTCAGATAGACTGACGGATTAAAGCGGTAAGACAAACTGACGGATTAAAGAGGTCAGATAGACTGACGGATTAAAGAGGTCAGACAGACCACACGGATTAAATAGGTCAAACAGACTGACGGATTAAATAGGTCAAACAGACTGACGGATTAAAGAGGTCAGACTGACGGATTAAAGAGGTCGGATAGACTGACGGATTATAGAGGTCGGATAGACTGACGGATTAAAGAGGTCTGATAGACTGACGGATTAAAGAGGTCAGATAGACTGACGGATTAAACAAGTCAGACAGACACACGGATTAAGGCGGTCAGATAGACTGACGGATTAAAGAGGTCAGACAGACACACGGATTAAAGAGGTCAGTCAGTCAGACAGACAGATACAGCGTGTTCAATCGGTCAGAAAGAAAGACAGATGTTTGATGATACGCAGTTTGATGCTGGGTATTAAAACTGACAGAAGTAACTAATCCTGGTAACACCTTGGTAAAGAACTCCAATATACATCCCCCTCCCCACACCCTTTGTAAGTATTTCATGAATTGAGCTACCAAGGCCGTTAATGCAGCTTTATAAGTATTGATTAAGCTTTTTTACTCCTTCCCGCTTAGAGTTTGTTTCAATGAGTACGGAATATGAAGAGATAGTGTGCTCGGCACTATGCCCAGTGGCTTTAGTTTCCTTAACGAGAGTCTATGTTCATCAGAGATGCACTCAGAATTTGAACTCTGAATATTTCAAATCAGCAGTCGTAAGCTCTAACTCATTACCCCTAACACGCCATCCTCTAAGTGTTACCAATATTAGTGTTATAGATACACCTGCATTTTTTAAGAGTTGAGTTATTGTTATAGATTGTTATTCATTTAGAACACCACTAGCCAGCTGTCCTATAATGTAATTGTGAAATAAAACCCACATTTAAAATTTAAATAAGCCCCTCCCCCCCCCCTCCCCACCCCCCACCCCCCCCCCCCCACAAAAATAAAATAAAAATAAAAATAAATTACTAATAATTTGGAAGAGACAATATTGATTACAATAGTAATCAAATTTTATTTTTCAGTCATCGTTTGCAAACTATATTTACACCTATGCCCACGAGTCGGGTGTCAAGGGACTAAAGAAATACGAAGGCGCTGTTTTGGATGCTTGCTTTTGGGTGAGTGTTCCATAGGTTATGTTGTACTGGCCAATGGTGTCCCATGTATGTTATGTTGTACCGGCCAATGATGTCACATGTATGTTATGTTGTATGTACCAATGACGTCACATGTATGTTATGTTGTATGGACCAATGATGTCCCATGTATGTTATGTTGTATGGACCAATGATGCCCCATGTATGTTATGTTGTACTGGCCAATGATGTCCCATGTATGTTATGTTGTATTGGCCAATGATATCCCATTTATGTTATGTTGTACTGTCCAATGATGTCCCATGTGTTATGTTGTACGGACCCATGTATGTTATGTTGTACTGGCCAATGATGTCCCATGTATGTTGTACGGGCCATTGAGTGAGTTTATATTAAAGGTTAAAGGTTGGATTGGTTATCGTAGTTTCAAGATCCCAATACGCGAATAGCCTGTTGGTGTAGACATTTTTCCTTTGTTAAACGGATTATAATTCAAATGAGGAAGATTATCTCTGATTAGTTAATGTTCTTCTTTATTTATTTATTTAAACTCTCAACTAAGTCAAGTAATACACCCACCCTTCCGCACACCGTGTAACTCTTTAATGAAATGAACTACTAGGCTATAATAAATACTGCCGATAATGCAACATATTAACAACCTTATATATAATAAAGATTACCAGTCATTATGATGTTGAGTTTATCTGATTCAGTTTAAGTTGGAAAAAAAACTCCGATCAACTACAGTGGTCTGCGTTTAAATTTTAAAGACAGATCACGTACGGGAACTTGTTTTTTGATACTTAAAGTTATAATTCAACAGACCAACATAATAATATATTTCTACAGGTTACCACATATTATTCAAATTTAAGAAATGTTTTGGTTTATCATCGTTCTTCTTCTTTGTTCTTAATTTTAATGTTGGATGTGATTCGCTTCAACACAATTAAATAAACGTGTCAACTGTTTATGCTCCATTGTAGGCCGTTGATTTCGGTTTCAGCCTACTTTTCTTTTGGATTACATCACTCGATAGATTACTATATTCAATAACATACGGCTGCTTTCACGGGGAATTTAATCTTCTTTCAAATATCGCTTCCACGTACGCTTGATAGATTTTCTTCCATAGCCTTTGTCTAACCAAGAACAAACTAACAAGGCAGAAGTTGCCCAAGGGTTCGAACTCAAGACTTTTCAGTTTAGCAACCATAAGCATTACCGACCCGACCACCTTTCACATTTTAAAAACTACACTACTTGCAAATAACAAACGGTGAGCGAACAAAACAATGGAACACATAAGAAAGTGAAGTCACCATTTATTTATTGTTTAAAAAAATGTAAACATAATACACCTTAACAAAAGCAAGAGAAATTTATTGCGTGAATAGCTTGTGATTTAATATTTTAAAATTTGGTGCTCATTATTAATTTTGATTACAATTGTCTTCATTAAATATGTAAAATAAAGAATTACATAAATATAAAAATAATATGATAGCATTATGCAAACAAAAATTAATTTGTTACGGACATTTTTCATATCCGTCTTGTGTTTGATTTTGTTTCAAAAGTTTGCCCAGTAAAATAGTTTTAAGTTGGATTTTAAAAGAAAAATATTCTGGGAACTATGTGATCATATCATTAAAATATCTCTGCTACATGCGAGGGTACATTTTAAAAAAAATACTAATTTTCTAATTTAATAAAGTAAATTTTTAAAATAGTAGATATTATCTCACTATACAGAGAAAAAATGTAAAAACTTTCTAGATATAGTTTATATAAATTATAAAATTAGAAGTAAAAATGTTGAAAGCAAGTTGGGTTCAAAACCATTGCAGACAGCAGTACTTAAAGAACACATTAAAACCACAGTAGTATTGTAAACAAATAATATCTTTATTGGGCTATAATACATTTGATAGTGCTTTTGTTCTAAAAATCTAACTTCTAATCGAGGCTTAAAAATCGCAAAATATTTTCGTTTTTTTTGTACGTATAAACATTTTTTAAATTATTTTCAAATTCAATTCTAAAAACAAATTATTCTAAATTAAATTTCGTTTTCTACAAAACAACTATAATACAAATAGTTGAATGAAACGTAAATGCAATTTCAAAAACTAAAGCATACACTACAGAATTATTAACGCAGAATTAAATTTCACTTTATCAAAGTATGAATTACCCTCAGGAAATGTAATACTAGCCTCGCCCGAAGTGCCAACTCTAATTGGCCTAATTAACTCTGCTCTCTGAATGCCTTGAGGAACTCTTCAATGTCAATCTTTCCGTCGGAGTTGACGTCTGCTTTCTTGAAAATGGCCTCGGCATTGGCCTTGATTTTTTGTTTGGCCAGCACAGCCTCGATTTCTTTGACTGAAACGGTGCCAGAGTTGTCGGTGTCAAAGTCTTTAAATGCAGATCTGAGTTCAGCTTCCCTAAAGAAGAAATATCCAAACTTTTAATACAACCGTCGGGTATAAAAATCACTTAAAAAAGAAATAAGATACATTTTTTTTAAAAATTCACAGGAGTGTAGAAACTAAAATTAAAAACAATTAAAATTTAAGTTTTATCTTCATTCACGTGTTTTAATTTGAAGAAATCTATACGTTGGATAAAATAAAATATAAACACACATGCAAAAAAAGCTCAGTTATGAATGATTTCTAATAACATGAAATTGGTGAAATATGTTAAAATTTTCCGGCTTCTGCAATATGTGAAATTTGAATTGTTGTGCATTCTCTACTATGTAAAAAAAAAAATTCTCTCTACCAAGCGGATATATATTTAACAAGCATTCATCTGTAAATATTTTTAAAACTAGAGGGCAATCTAGACGGGTGCTATACAGCATTATCATACCCTCCATCCCCTTAAATTGGTTTAGACATGAACATATCGGGATTTTTTAAAGAAATACAGCTGAACGTAAGAATATTTTAGTATTATTTTAGCAGTCTCATTAAATTTTAAAAGTGATCTTGATAAATGCAAAATACGTAGAAAGTGTTTTTATTTTTTTCAAATGTAAATATTTATAAAAACTGTTGCCAGACCGCATTTATTTATTGTTTTCGTACTTTTATATTAATTAAGAAAATAAAGAAGCAAAAAAAGGAAGAGATCATAACGCATGAGTTATTATAGAATTTTTTTAGTGGCTATAAATAGAGAGTTGTTTTGTGAAAATTTACAATCTTTCCAATAAAACAGAAACAGTTCAGGGGAAATAACTGGAATAAATCTTTACAGAAATACGGTCTAGATGTATAATAAATATATATTATTTATAATATAATACACACATGAATATATAATATTATACACAAATAAGTATATACATATACTTACACACACACGCATATATATATATATATATATATATATATATATATATAGAGAGAGAGAGAGAGAGAGAGAGAGAGAGAGAGAGTTAGAGAGAGAGATATTGATAAATAGATATAAGGTAATGTATTTAGTTACATACACATAGATATATAAATTCATGCAACTGTAATAAGACAAAAAATATTCCACTAGTGTGTCTAAAATATTAGTTACATCACACTACCTGTATATGTATGTCAATCTAAAATCATCTCGTTCAACTATTCAGATCATAGATAAACGTGTCAAAACTAATCAATCGAATATACCCTAACCATAAATATGTGTGTAGCATCTACTTCCGTTTTCTATACCCTGCCTCTACTTGACTTCCGGTGTGTCACCCTTACCGGAACCTGACGTCTAACTCAGGGGCGTTAACTCCCAGGTGTGCGTTGGACGCCTGCCCTAGTTTTACCTGATGGTCTGGGGACTTTTTCTGTGTTTCATCGTCCTCGTCTTCGCTGTCAAAATCTAAATAAACGGCCCCTTGGTCGTCCTCTGGTGGACTGCATATTGGGGTAGGTTCAATCAAATCAATGACAGTTCTATCGATCTAAGGCATGGGTGGGCTAAGTTGACGGATTAACTAAACTAATTGTGTGGTGGTAATCCTTATAACTGAACGTTGAATTGGAATCAGTATATACCTTTTATAAAAAACATTCATCTCTAATTTGAGTTTAGTCATATATTAATAAAGAATAGCTTGGAAATTTGTTGGAAATTTCAAGAATAAATTGATGCATATTTTTACATGTTTAATGCTCAAGGCTTAAATAAATTATAGAAAACAAAAATGTAATGAGACAAGTGGAGATATTTGTATCATAAAAAATATACAGTTTTAAAAGTATTTTTGTTTCTGATATTAAATTCGACTTTTATACTTAAAAAATACTTTTAAAAAATTGTAATTATTAGGGACGTAAGTACATAATCTCCTAACGAAACCAATATACAACACAATGTTGGGATAAAACCTGCATGTAGATATTATATGAGACAGTTACACATTTTCTTTTATTTGACAAGAAATTATTTACATGCAGTCACATGACTTGTAAGGGAATCATCCATGTATGACGCCCATACAATGGTAGCAAGGCCGCACCCCCTCCCACCCTCACCTCTTACGCTATCCATTAATAAAACGTAATAGTTATATTAAAGGTAGTTAAAACTTAATGATTTAGTAATTAACACCCAAACAAAAACCCAGCAGTATAACGGGGAAAAACATGTCAGACAACTTACTGAACAGCTTTGGGATCCCTTTTAGCGAGAGCCTTTTTCAACTCGTCCAACGTCATCTTCTGATCGTTGTTGGCGTCCATCTCTTGGAACATGTTCTGTGGAGATTTTATTTTTTTTTTAGTAAAGGGTAATAACTTGTGCGGGTTAATATTATTATCTCTAATAGTAGATTACCTCCCTTACTTAACAACTAAATGTGTAGATGTTAAATCTGGTTTTACTGTGAGAGGTGAAATCAACTCAGTGATGCTCTCCTGTGACAATCACTTTATTTGGCTAGAAATCCCATTATGTGAAATTCGACTAAAAACGCGAAATCAGACATGCCATTAGACTAAATCTTAAGGGGTCGCAGCACTTGATTAACAAACACCCGAATAAGAACTTGTATATGCATCATAACACACTGATAGGATTTTGACTATTCAACAAATTTGTTGATCTTTAACCAATTATAAAAGTGGACTTATCGGTATTTTACATACATCTGTAATGTGATAGATCTTAATTAGTATTTCTTGTATAAAATTCAAGTTTTAAATGAATATGCATAAGAGGATGTTAAATATGATAGTAGACTAAAAAGCCCTGAGCCTTCCCATAACAAATCGACAGTACTGACAAGCCTAATACATTCTTAAACACGTCACTAGTTTTACGTGCTCTGGAAAGTTCTCTTTATCGAGCATGACGGTCCATGGGACAAGCGAAGTAGGTTTCATCTGTCTGTGACCTCGGCATATGAAAATATAACGTGGTCAGTACTATGCCCAGCTGTCTTTACTTTCCGTAACACGAGTCAGGTACCCATCAGAGCTGGGTGGACTCAAGAGACATTCTACTGACTGAACCCGGATTCAAACTCGAGACTTTCGGGTTAGCAGTCTAGCTCTCTATCTAAGCCACGCTGTCCACGTGCACTGAATCTACCACCTTAATCCACCTTGGAACTGACGTGTGAGCCTCTCTATACACCCCTCCCCTCCTCGTGAGTACTCACCACGACATCCTCGGGTGTAGGGGCGGCTCCAGCCTTGTGGAGGACTTTAGCGAGTTCTAGCACCGTCAGCTCTCCGCTCTTGTCCAAGTCGGCTTCCTTGAAGAAAAGTTCTACTTTCTCATCGAATGTTGACATGGTGATGGTTTTGTTTTATCTGTTAAAAAAACAAATATTAATTCTGTCATATTGATAGTTTTGTTTTGTTTGACTGTTGAAAAAAAAAATGTTGACATGATGATAGTGTTGATTTATTGTTAAAAAACAAAAAACAAATTAATATTGACATGTTAATAGTTTGCTGACATTGTACTATCTGTAACGTTATAGTTAACTAGTTTTTGTTTTAAACACACTTAACTTTATAAAGCCGGACAAAAATTTTTTTTTTTTTAAATATTAAAACAATTTTACTGAATATTCACCGAATTGATCATGGTATTAAAATATATTTGTCTGAGGGCACGATTGAGACACAATAAAGTTGACTGAACTAACAATTATAGATGGTGCTGGCCAGTTAGTGACAGCAGGGTTTCTTTCAGATATTTTCTCGTGTGGGGGAGGGGCGCTTGAACCTTCAGTGAGGAGGGACGCGTTTAAAATTTCTGGGCGAGCTGCGGACACTGTTGAAACAATATATTTTCTATATTTTTTTAATTTCATCCGGATGGGATGGATTGTGTGGGGGTGAACGTGCGCGATTGGAGGAGTGAGGGTGATAGTACCCCCCCCCCCCCCCTCCGCAGATATGCCTAAAAATAAACTGTGTACGAACTGCTGACGAATGTTATCTCTAAAATGACAACAGCGTATGCCGTACACTATCTACTTCATTATTTTAAAAGCTTCGAGTAAATATTTTTTTTTAAAATATTGGAGAAAATGTTTCTTTAATACTTTGAGGTGTTTATTCTACATTTCCTATTGCAAAAAAAAATTACCTGAACGTGTTTTTGGAACGAAATTTCGATTAAAACACCGTAGTCTAGATCCTACAATAGAATCAGCCATTTCTTTTTATCCTAATTGTGTTGTATCGAAATCTCTCCCCCCCCCCCCCACCTATTACACATACACACCTACCGTCTCTTTACCAAACCTTAAGAAGGATTTATATGGGAGAGGAATTTTCCCATTTTCTGTAGTCAATAGGCGTATTTAGGTCAACAGGTGTATGAATCACCAGGTACAGCCTTAATGTTGCAATCATAAGAGTAAAAAAAATACAGGACAGTTATTTAAATAAAATCGATACAAATGTGACCCTTAGATCGAACCAGTTACATTATTAAAACTACGATTTAAACAAATATGATGTATGCGAGTATTCTTTCACTTTTCCGGTCTGAACTTTTATCTTGTAATAATATGCGTCTGCAAAGATGTTTCAAAATAGGATGTGTTTACCTTTTGTTTTTTCTTCAAATCCCCTCCCCCAACCACACCACCACCTTAGATAGCTCATCTGTGACTCAATGAGATTAAAACCATAGAATGGTCGGCTTTAAAATCCTATTAAGCTGTAAAAAAACAAAAACCTATCTAGTTATAATTAAAACAAACGACAAAATAGTGTAGGTGTAGTGTTGCAAGACTTACAATAACCCTCAACACATCTTCAAGTTAAACGTTTACAAGTCTCACATTAAAATATGCTAGTTTTAGTCAAACGGTCACAATTCTCACATCACACTTGACTTAGTTAAACGGCCACAAGTCTCACATCACACTTGACTTAGTTAAACGGCCACAAGTCTCACATCACACTTGACTTAGTTAAACGGCCACAAGTCTCACATCACACTTGACTTAGTTAAACGGCCACAAGTCTCACATCACACTTGACTTAGTTAAACGGCCACAAGTCTCACATCACACTTCACTTAGTTAAACGGCCACAAGTCTCACATCACACTTGACTTAGTTAAACGGCCACAAGTCTCACATCACACTTGACTTAGTTAAACGGCCACAAGTCTCACATCACACTTCACTTAGTTAAACGGCCACAAGTCTCACATCACACTTGACTTAGTTAAACGGTCACAAGTCTCACATCACACTTGACTTAGTTAAACGGCCACAAGTCTCACATCACACTTGACTTAGTTAAACGGTCACAAGTCTCACATCACACTTGACTTAGTTAAACGGTCACAAGTCTCACATCACACTTGACTTAGTTAAACGGTCACAAGTCTCACATCACACTTGACTTAGTTAAACGGTCACAAGTCTCACATCACACTTTACTTAGTTAAACGGTCACAATTCTCACATCACACTTGACTTGACTTGACTTAGTTAAACGTTAACAAGTCTCACATCAACATTTACTTGACTTAGTTAAACGGTCACCAGTCTCACATCACGTTTAACTTGACTTAAACTTCTCCATCAATTTTACCATCAGCCCCTAGGGACGTCAAAAGAGACATATTGTACACACCCATTCATCAACCAAATACCTCCTACCATTAAAAAAAAACAGACCAAAGTTTTTTCCCCCTCTATTCCCAAAGCAAATATCCCAAGTAGTAGAACGCAGGCGTACTTTCTTTTCAAATCTTGGCCGTCCATTTCATACGGTGTTTTAAAGCCCATAAAGTGGGCGTAGGGCTGAACTGCGTAGGAGTGAAATATATGGCATATGTACACAGATAAGTAAAGAATTTTATGAGCATGGTTGTAAATCAACGATGCGTGGAGTTCTTGGTTACACTTTTTTTTCCTTTGATGACGATGTAGCGTGTAAGCTGACGTATTGACACCCTAATTCTTCTTCACCTTAAAATTGTTGCGAAATATGTAAAAGACACTCTCCACAGCATTGAGCATGGCAAGCACGCGTAGTGGGTGAAAAGAAATAAATAGGGCGTGATGTAACGCGAACTAGGTCAGGCACGGCGTCCTTATTGATGACGTAATAAATTGTTTTCATTATAGACTAGCCTGGAATACAAGTGAAGTGAGATTTAAAAATCCAATTACAAAGTTGGACGAAGCGCGGTTTTATTAAAAAAAAAAACAGTCCAGATGTCTTTCAAAACAATCTGTTTTATTTTCATCAGAATGTTCTTTCTTTTCGTTGAGCAATGAATGGGTTTAGGGAGAGCAAACAATTTGGCGAATTATTTAACTTGGCACAGCACGTGACCCAGCGAAACCACCAAACAAACGACCAAAACTAATAGTCCCCCTTACGTTCGCTTTAACAACTCCTCTTGTTCGCATTAGACAACAGTAACATTATTGAGTACGGATGAAGGTATTAAGTCGTAAAATTTACTTTCGAATTTTATCTTAAAAAAATGGGAGCATGAAAGCGATTTGAACTGAAGTTAAATATTATTTTGTCCTTGATCTTGTTTGCCCGCCATGATTCAATTTGCACCTGTCGACCTTTCGTTCTTTGTTAGCCTCGTTTTAGTACGTTACAGCCCCCACATCTCACTCAGTAGCATTGTATTCATGATGTATAGCATGTTTGCTTTATGGACATATATATATATATATATATATATATATATATATATATATATATATATATATATATATATACATATATATATATACACACATTTATCCATATCTATGTGTGTCTTTATAGGCCCTTATATTAATGTGTTGAAAGTGACACATAAAAAGTGTTTTAAAACGTTCCAATGTAATGTAATTGACATAAAATGAAATATATCTAGTACATATACCATATGAGAATCACCGGAATGGTTAACATTCTTGGACATGCGTGAGTGTCTCGTTATGAGTCAAATGCCATATGGGCGGTGGCTCTCATTAGATAAGTTTAGGGACATAAATCTTTATTTTTCAGTGGTTCTAAATTGTGCCAGTATTTTGATATCAAATGTATGATAAATACAAATAAAGTAGTTCTTGGAAGCTTGCTAGCAATACAATCAACGTGAAACATTTTATATAGAGATTTACGTTAGTTTAGATCTGTTGTTATGGTTCTTAGACAAACGGAATAGTACTTTAATTCTGTTCTTATTGATTTAATGAACTGTAATCATTTGAGAACCTGTATAAGCATATATATATATATATATATATATATATATATATATATATATATATATATATATATATATATATATATATATATATATATATATATATATATACATATATATATATAAATATATATATATATATATATGTATATATATATATATATATATATATATATATATATATATATATATATATATATATATGGTGGCCGGAAAGAACCGCAACGGAAAAAAGCGCAACGGAAAAAAGCGCAAAACAAATAGCGCAACGGAAATAAGCGCACACGGAAAAAAGCGCAAAGAGAAAAAAGCGCACACAGAAAAAAGCGCAAAGAGAAAAAAGCGCAAACGGAAAAAAGCGCAAAGAGAAAAAAGCGCACACAGAAAAAAGCGCAAACAGAAAAAAGCGCAAACGGAAAAAAGCGCAAAGAGAAAAAAGCGCACACGGAAAAAAGCGCAAAGAGAAAAAAGCGCAAACAGAAAAAAGCGCAAAGAGAAAAAAGCGCACACAGAAAAAAGCGCAAACAGAAAAAAGCGCAAACGGAAAAAAGCGCAAAGAGAAAAAAGCGCAAACAGAAAAAAGCGCAAACAGAAAAAAGCGCACACGGAAAAAAGCGCAAACGGAAAAAAGCGCAAACGGAAAAAAAACGCAAACAGAAAAAAGCGCAAACGGAAAAAAGCGCAAACAGAAAAAAGCGCACACAGAAAAAAGCGCAAACAGAAAAAAGCGCAAACGGAAAAAAGCGCAAACGGAAAAAAGCGCACACAGAAAAAAGCGCAAACGGAAAAAAGCGCAAACAGAAACAGAAAAATGCGCAACCAGAAAAAACACAACGAAAAATGTGCAAAAGAGAAATTTAGCACAAAGACCATATGGACTAGATGACACATTTATGCATGACTGTTAGGGCTGCTGTGAGAGTGTCGTGTTTGATCACGTGATCTACTACCATTTAAAGCGTACCACTACCATCTGCATTCCCATCACCACGATACAGGCGATAATCACTTTACACAATGCCTATTATTTTCTTGGTCAATAATTATTCAACTACTATTCTCGTATAAACATAAAACTATCGACATTACACGAAGTATCTTTCACATTCTCCCTAGT